AGAGAGATGTGGGCGTATAATAAAAAGCAATTGTTTCAGGGAGTTAATGAAAGGGGATCTAAGCTACCATGGACAATAACATTACTCAGATTCTTATTCCTATTGTGAGCAGTCACCAAACGTTAAGTATAGATGTTCTAAGGGAATTCGTCCTGAAGTTCTTTATAAAAGCGTTTGACAATCACAGAGGCATTTTAAGCTGTAGAATTGTAGGTGCCAACGAAAGGTATAAATTGATGCGCTTGGTTTTTGGTTTGGTCATTGTAGATACAGAAACCTTTTCTATGGGCATAACAAGAAGATCTTCAATGGACTGGTCTTTCAAGAAACATAACTTCATTCAACAGAATTTAGTTCCACTTTTCTATACTTCACTTTAGATCAGCTCATACACTTCCATTTAGTTGTAGCCATTCCTCTGCTTCTTTCATTAATTTTTTATGGAACTTGAAATTTATCAATGGATATCCATGTGACACAAATTCATTGCAAGTTCTATAGCGAGCCATGAAACAAGGCTATGGCTTGAAGCATATCAACAAATATAAGCTTCAACACAGCAATAGAATGCATCCTTATTGAAAAGTGGTTGATAAGTTAAGAATTTATGAAGTATATAGAGGATGAATTCAACCGACCAGCACGCCAGTGACAAATAAACTCATGTTCTTGCATGCACTCAGTCACGCTTCAGGCCAAACATGCTCCCTGTCCATATTTGGCAATAAGCCAAGTTAACAATATGTTTTTTCCTAAAATAGATTTTTATGACTGCCGTCAATGAGAAATAGCCGGATATAAACAAAATAACGACTTCCACCATTTTGGCAAGTGGTATTAAACTTCATTTCCAACCAAAACAATTTTGTACCGTCAGTACTATTTTTGATCATCTGTCGAAAATAACTGGATTGTGATAAGAAACATTTGTTGTTTTTCAAAAGTGTTATTTACAATCATAAATGATGATCTGATTTGAAGGATAACGCTTAATCACAACAAGACTCTTTTGAAACTTCGATTCTATGTAATGACTATAAGTGAATTTTACTGTTATTCTGTAAATTATGGGAATAATAACCTTTGACACTCATAAATGTTATTGAAGCAGATGTATTATTATTATTAAATAAAGTTTATCAGTTGATGCTCATTCCAAAACTGATCCCAAACTGCATCATTTATCTACCTGTATGTATTCTTGTACTACACAAGTTGATTGATCCATCATCAAATTAAGAGTAGAATGAAACTATGGTACAGAGTATTGCACAGGTGATTTAACATATATAACACTGTTGATAAGCATATAATTACTTCATTTACTTCAAATTGTGGAAAAAAGAGTGTATGTATGGAATCACACAAGGACTTTTATTACTGGCTGTCAGTTGAAGACTACAACTGGGAAATGATGACTTCAATCATCCAAAAGTGGATACATCTGTCTTTGAAGCTGGAAGAAGTATTCCAGGCTACAATTGTTTAAAATCTAATAAAAATGATTGTTGCTTTGTCATTCTTCTCATTTTTTTTTTAGCCCTTTTTCACGGTGTCTGTCTTATAAATGTAACATACGCAACCATGCTTCTATCTTACACTAGAAAAGTAATAGTTCTTTAATTTGTTTGCCTTTACAACTATCTCTGTAACCATGAAATTGAGATTAAAGTACCATATTCAACAGACACAGACAGAAAAATGTAACCATGGATGCTGGGCAAATTTTTAACGGCTTTTTCATGAAATGACTCCATAGTATCTCTGGGATAACCACAGTGAAGATAACAGTATACCAGGTTGTCTGCATGTAGTTTATCAGTTTAGCAGATATGTTAAAGTCTGAGAAATTGACTGTAGGGTGACTTATTTTAATATATGAGGAGGGTGATAGAAGTGTAAGAGAGGTAAGAGTGCGTGTCTGTTGGTTTGCAGAACAAATCGAAAGAGAGCTTTCTGGTTTTTTGATCAAATTTGACCCAATTCGTGGTAAACTTTACCGGAGGAATGAATATCTTAGAAACCACAACTGCAAAAAGGTTAAAGAACGGGAAAAATTTACAGCCTTCATCCAACTGGCACCCAACTAAAAGATGTCCTAGGAGTGATACCTGAAACAAACCGTATACTACAAGAGCCCACTCCGGAGATCTCACCACCAGAAGAGTATATCGTGGAGGACTAGTTAGCTTTCTGGTGTTTTGATCAAACTTGATCCCAGGAGTGGTAAACGATATCGGAGGGTACCCAAGTTCAGATTTTTTCATTGATCCCGTGGGGTTGGAAAGTTTTCAATCTAATAATCCAGTGAAGTTCAATGGAGCGTCTATTGGTAGTAGATTGTGGGTTGGTGTCAAGTTGTTTCATGATTTGGTAGTCGAGATTTCAGCTGGAGTGACTCGGTAGGTGGAAGTGAGAGGCGACAGGAGTATCTCTCTTGTGATGGATATCAGCAAATTGTTCTTTCAGCCTGATGCGGAATGGTCTCGCTAACGTCTCTGCTGGTGCAGGTCCACAGTTTTGGACAATTGCAGAATTGGAACAGAAGGTGTTCTTGAGTCTCAGCAAGTGGGAAAAGTGGCATTGTCGGGTATTGCAGTCAATATCTAAGTAGTTGTAAGTTTTATCACTAACTTGAGGTTTTTGTGCGGGGTCTCCAATGGTGGCCAGGCCTAAAAATTGACACGAGCCTCTGAATCTCATTCGCGTCAAGACTCTCGTAAACCCTGATCGCGTGAGTCCTTTTCGATTCGCGCAAAAAGCTCAAATTGTCCGGCCTTCATTACGAATCAATACTATTTATAGTCTGGATGACCAAGCCACTGATCTGTTGTAGAGTTATGTATAGTAACATTTTCAATATTATTGTTGACTTATAAACGAGGTTGGAAAGGAAATAGTAATTGATCCTACAGCGAGCCGATGATATATTTCTTCATAGTTTTCATAATCTATTATATTATTAAGATATAACTGCATAGATTTATATTCATATTCTGTAAAAGAGATAAATAAAACACTGATAGATAGCATAATTATTTTTTGATGACCACACGTCATAAAATCCATTCGAACACCGCGCACCAAGTTCCATCATGGCATCGCAGCAACCTTCAAGCAGCGTTAAAAAATATGTTTCGAAACAAACGGTGCTAAATGTGTGGCAGCAAGAATTAAGGGACACCTTTGATTTCACCTTTGATGACAAAACGTGAAAAACTGTTCACGCAAAGTGTAAGGTGTGTCGAAATTATGTATCTAAGATTGAACAACTTTACAAAGGGAAACTCGTTCAAGACGTAAAACTGTACGGCAAAAATGGCACCAGTCACATCTTAAAAACCAATCTGGAAAGACGGACATACCAAATGCCAAGAAATTGAATCAGGCGAACCTGCCAACAAAAGACAAAGAACATTAGCATCAGCTTTTGGCTCAGCCAGAGAGAGGGCTCTGAAAACACTTCAGCCATTGATGAGGTGTGCACAGTCTTTATATTCCCTGAAAGAAAAGTCCTTCAAATTAAATTTTTACTTCAAATAGAAGATTTATTATTTTTGTATGTTAAAAAAACAAATTCACTGAAACCAATTTTTTTTTCTTTTTTCTGCAATATATAAATTATGATCATGTACTGTCATTTTAAGGGATTTGCATTTGATTTATTAACAGAACAGGGCATTTTATCTATATTTTGTGTAAAGCATTAGGAGGACTCTTGCAGATTGCATTTGTGAGAGTCCATCTGGATTCTCCTGGATTTAGACAAATTTTTAGGCCTGGTGGCTGAGGTTAAAAGATCTTTGAGTGAGGGGTTTCTTCTGTAGGCAGTTAAGCAGGGTTTGGGTAGTGCTTTGTTGCAGTCATTGGAACTGGATAGAATGTGCCAGTTGTCTTTGAGGATTTTGCTGACAAGGGCCAATGAGGGATTATAGTCTGTTATGAAAACTGGACGTTTGATATCTAAGGGTGTTTTGTGTTAGCTGAACAGTGTTGTCTGTTGAATAACATCGGCTTTAGAACTATTGGATTGAATGATATCTCTATGGTAACCCAGGTTGAGATGTACCAGTAGTGTACCAGGTTGTCAGCATGTTGTTTGTAATTGGCAGGGTTTGAGCAAATGCGTTTGAGTCTGAGAAATTGACTGTGTGGCCCCTTCTTTTTGATATGTGGCGATGACAAGAAGTATACTAAAGGTAGGAGTATGTGTCTGTAGGGCAATTCCATGATAAATGATACTGATTTATGAAATTTAGAATAAATCAGAAAGTTTAGAAACTTATTTTATTTCAATAAGAATATATTATACTTAATTATTTTGGGAAATTTATTATAAAAAATATTATTTTGAAGAATTTTTTGAGGAATTTCTTGTGTATCAGTAATTTTATGAAATTATATCAATTTTGTCTATTTATCTTAATGGGCTAATAAAACATTCAAATCAATATTGAAATTAGTTCTGTTTAGAAACACATATAAGATAAGGAACATTTTTCTTCTAAAGAATGAAAAATTGAAATTCCCTTGTTTAGTTTTTTTTAACAACATCCCATTTTTAAGTCAGTGGTACAAAATAGTACATCCGTTACCATATGGGACTATTTTTCACTGTCAAACATTTATTAACACATGTAAAAATCTAAGGTTCTTTAATCAAAGCTAACTAATTGCCCATAGTATGCTCATAATGCAGCTGCCTTGAAAATGTTTAAAATTTCAAAGTTAAAGCTCTATTTCAAATTGTACGTCTGTTACAAATTTATGTACGTCCGTTACCCTGTACGTCCGTTACCTTTATTTAAGGCAGACTAATTGCATTTGTGTTGTTTTCAAAATCATTTATATAATACATGGGCATGTGTTGGTAAATACCATACCTCTAGGCCTTGCCAAGGGACAGAACACTGAGCTTAAGGTCTGCTCAAGAAGCATAACTCTAAATAACAGGAAGTCAGTTTTTGGCGGGAAAATCCTAGCTCTTTGGATTTTTTAAAATGGAGCTATTAAGGCAGAAGAATAAAAAGGTAATTTTGTTTAGATTTTCTACATATCACATTCATCCAGGCCTTATCGATTCCGGCCAATCAATCATCTGATTAGTCAATTATTCATCCTTTCATCATACATTTGTGCATTCATCCAATAGTTCACTCAAACGTTTATTCATCCATCCTGTCATTCATCCATCCAGTCATACATTCATACATCTCTCAAACATTCATTCATCCTTTTTAAAAGCTATTTTTCTTTTTCTTTCAGACGGTAGGGCCACTCACACCAGCAGAAAAACAGAAAAACTACCGATTGCGACACTCTGAAAAAATCAAAGAAAAAGACAGAGGAAGACAAAAAGGCCAAAGATCCCATCTGAAAGAGGATGAGAAATTATGGAACGATTACAGAAAAAAGGAAAACGAAAGAATGAGATTGAGGAGAGCTTTACTAAAAGAAAAGTCTCAGAACAACATTGATCTGTCCAAGAATGAAAATACGTATAAATGTCCTCAAAGTCTTGGCAAAGCTGTCAGGAAAGTCCAGAATGCACTCCCAACTTCACCAAGAAAGCGGCAAAAAGTTTTACAAACAGTTTTAAATAATGCAAATTCTACTTCTACCTCCACTGAACTTCAACGCAGCAGACAATCCCTACCCATTACCACAGAGGAGGCAGTTATAAACTTCTATTCATCAAATGATGCCTCATGGCAGGCACCTGGCATGAAAGATCATGTTATAGAAAGGCTTGAAGATGGTACTAAAAACTATCTGCAGAAAAGATTCATGTTATTTTCATTGAAAGAAGCGCATCAATTATTTCTTGAAGCTAATCCAGAAAAGTTGATAAGTTTGTCAAAATTTTGTTCTTTAAGACCATTGAATGTTGTTACTTTTTCTAATGTACCACACAATGTTTGCGTATGCACTGAACATGAAAATATTCCATTACTTCTTGTTGTGCTGAATAATGTAGACAAAAATATTCCAACTGAATTTAGAACATTTATTAATACCATTGTCTGTGATCCACAAAATTTCAATTGCATGCAACAGGAATGTGCAACTTGTCATAATCGTATTAATTTGTTGAAACCCACAAGTAATGAATGTTTAACTTATTTTCGGTGGTCAAAAAATGATTTGAAGAAAGTAGACAAATTAAAATTTACAGCCACTGTTCATGAAATCTTTCAAATTTTAGCATCTAAACTCAGATCTTTTTTAATCCACACATTTATTAAAAGAACTCAATCTAAGAAATTTGATAATTTAAAATGTAATGTGGATGTTAAGTCAATTCTTATTCCAGTTGATTTTTCTGAAAATTTTTCCATCAAGGATCAAAATGAAATACAGTCTGCGCATTGGGTAAATAATCAATGTACTTTATTCACTGTTTTTATGTGGATTAATGGAACAATTACCAAGAGTATGGTCATAATATCAGATTATTTAGAACATGAGAAGTATGCTGTATATACTTTTATGACACACATTTTTAAATATTTAAAAAGTAACTTTCCTGATGTCTTACATGTCAATATATTTTCAGATGGTCCATCATCTCAATTTAAACAAAAGTATTTGTTTTCAAACTTAGAGGTTTGGTCTGAAAAATATTCATTTAATATATTTTGGCACTTTCTCGCTACCTCCCATGGGAAGGGTGTCGTCGATGGGATTGGGGGTAGTGTCAAACGCTCTGTCTGGCGACGAGTTCTTTGTGGGGAGGTCTCTAAGTCTGCTGAAGATGTTGCTGATTTGGCCAAAAAAGTTAATCCCAATGTTATTATTTCATACATAACCAAAGACACCATAGAACAGACCAAAACTACTCTCGATGAAAGATGGAGATTAATAAGCACTATACCAGGTACACATAATATTCATTTCATAACATCGGGTAAGAATGGCATTGTGAAATATTCCAATACATCTGCTACACTGAACCTCCAGGAAACCCAAATTCATCATTCTGATTCTAATGACAAAAATATTACAGATAATTCAGATAAGGAAATTAATATGCATGATTGGGTTGTTGTCTTATATGAAGAAGAATATTTCCCAGGTGAAATCACAAACATTATCGGTGATGATATTGAAGTTGATGCCATGGAACAGTGTGGTGATGTTTGGAATTGGCCGAAAATATCTGAGATATATTACGACAGGGAAAAAGTTATTCGCAAGATAAGTCCACCTACGATCGAAATGAAGGGATCAAGAATATTTTATTCATTTCATGATATTCAAGAACTTTAATGAAAATTTTGTTAGTCATTTTACTTCATCTTTTCAACCATATTTTGAATATGATAAAGCTTTCATATTAGTTGCCAATTGAACCTTCTGAGAGCTGTCAAGTATGTGTTCTCAGCACTATACTACTCAGAGAGCACTATTGTATATCAGAAAGAAGGGAGATGCTGTATTTGAATTGTATATTTGCACGTGTACGTCCGTTACCTTAAAATATGTACGTCCATTACCTTAATATAAATGATATAACAGTTGAGATAAGGTATGAATCAAGATTTTAAACCAATTGTTGATTAACTGTTCAATATATGCAGAAATATATCCTGAAGAATTTTTTTTTGGAAATCCATAATTCACAGACTTTCAGTATTAAACGTACGGTTTCATAATTTACAACTTTTGGGTTGTACGTCCGTTACTAAACTTGAATTATCAAATAAATAGAGCCATTTGTAGCTACAGAAAAAAATATTACCCACTGAAAGGCATAATGGTTCTCTGTTTTAAACCATTCATTTTTTAAATATTGCAAATAACATTTCAGCCTAAAACTTTTACTGGTAAGGATAGAAAATTGTCTGAAATGTACGAAATTGCCCTGTAGGTTTGAAGAAAAAATCAAAGGAGAGTGCCTCCGCAAACACCGATGCAAAGGAAACCGACTAGCAGTGAACCCTGCCACAGAGAATCAGGAGGAAGAGGTGCAACCAGACGTCCTCCAAGAAGCTATAGAGGAAACCATCGGTAGCCTCACAGAGAATATTGTCCAATCACCAATCTACAGACAGCTTTGGTTCCACCCTTTTGGACCTTACCAACACACCTCCATCATGTTCTTACACCACTCCAGAACCATACTGGATTCAGCCCAGTACCAGTACCATCACCAACGAGCGTCAGCCTAACCCTCACTTCACTCCGATGGGTGCACCCTTCCCCATCTTCAACCACTAAGACTGGCACCAACCTCTTTCTCCCAGCCTACTTGGAGCAGAAAATTGGATTTCCGTACCTTCATGTAGATCCGATATCTGGAGCAACTGGGACCACACATCCGATGCCAATTTCAAAATTCTTATAGATGAAGCACTCTCAAGATCCATCTCAGAAGACCCTTCACTACCTTCGCAGCGCATCAGCAAAGACTTTTTTAACTCCACCCTCATACTTGGTCAATAAAAATAAAAGATAGCTTGCCAAGCAAGGTAATATACGCCCACTGGCAGCTTTGATTTTGAATAAAAATATTTAGCAGTACAATATCAATCACCAGTATGAAATATTCAATCTTCAGTCATACACTTCTTTTGAACTCATTGAAATAATTGGTGTGTGTGCAATGAGAAAAATTCAACCAGGATAGAGGCATAAGACTATTATCTGTCAAGGGATAATAAATGTGTACTAACAGAGGGACTCAGTATATTGTTTATTCCTTTTTTCCATGTCAACTCCTCCAACCTGATTTGTAAAAACCCTAATTTGGTAACAATCCTTACTGTTGTCAAAAATTTGCTCCCAAACACCCACTCTGATAACAAATGTAATAAATTTGTCCGCAACTCCTATTCTTATAACAACTCTAAATGTGATAAATGTGACAACAACCTGTATTGTGCAGGTACATGTAATAAAATTAAACAACCCCTATTGCACTAACAACTATTTTTAATCAGAAATTAATAGTGAATAATAAATAGATAACCTGGATAAGGATGAATGGAAGACTACAATTGAAACATATGTGGTAAACAAGTGGTTGCTATATTAAAGGTGTTTCTAATATTTTATGCTTATCGGGGACATTCATAGTATTAATTTGCACCATTCCAATAGCATCAATTTGCACCATTCCAATAGCATCAATTTGCACCATTCCAATTTTCAATCTTTTATGACGTCCCCCCCACGACCAACCTTTGTGAAGGTGATGTCTGATTGAAAATTGGAATGGCACTAATTGATGCTATCATTGTCCCCGAAACACATACACAATTGATAAAACCTATTTACAATCCCTTTAGGGACTGCAAGACAAATAGACAGGGTGACGACAATATATGTTGATCATCATTTTATGAAGCCATATTGGATTCCTGCATGAGAAGAATGAGGAAAGTTACTAAGCAACGACTAAAAAAAGTGAAATCATTAAATTCATCAAACATTCTATGTCCCTGAGGAAGTGCTCATGAAATATGGTGTATTTTAGGACTAGTTTGGTATTTCTATGGAATTTTACATTTTTGCACATTATAATATGAGTTCATATAAAAAAAAAAATATCCCTCTTTCAATAAGCTTTCTGGAATTCATCACCATCCTCCTCCCCACTTTCATCATTTAAATCTACCACAGTTTGTGCATGAATTGTAGTATTTATCAATCTTTTCATAGTGTACATATCATTCAGACATTGTTTCTGTTTCCTATTACTCCAACATGATATCACACTACCTAGCAACAATATAATCAATAAATTTACACCAATATGCACTCCAAAATATGTTGGAATCAACATAATTTGCTCATGATCTTCTTGGTCCCACTTTCCAAACATAGGTTTGTATAAAACAGATCCCACTTGCCAAAACCATGTGCCTTGCAATAGAATAACAAATCTGCAAGTCATTGCAATCAGAAGATTATTTCTATATCTCATCTCTAAGACAATAATGACTGCTAGAGCTACTAATATGTATAGCAGTAAAGTATGCAGTAGGACATCCAAAGAACTTCTCCCGTGCAGATGAAAGCGGAATAAGATAAATTCCACACCATTGGCAAGAAAAATCATAGCATAGTCTAAATGTGTTGGTAAATTTGCCTGGAAGTACACTAGGATATCAATAAAACTAGCCAATCCAAAGAAGAAATACATAGTCACATGTTGTATATTACCAGTCATGTACAATACTCCATTCTTAGATCCTGTATAAATCTCTAATGCTAGGGCGATGATAATAAGGATAACTCTCATCACTGGTTCAATTGGCCAAGATTCAGCTTTCCCACATAAACAAGAACAAGGAAACCACACTGCAGACACAAATTTGGAATTTTCTCTCTTACATCTGTAATATCTTTTGTATAATGAAATAATATGCCAAAAAGAAATTAACACAAAAATTGATCCTGGCAAAGCATGTCCTCCAAAATTTCCCATTTTATATGTCAGGTTTGAAAAAATGTTTACCTCTGAAATAAACAAAATTAGGAAGTCAATAACTAACAATATCATTATCCAATAAGCAAACCAAGCTTCATGAAGATCAGATGAAAACTATCACTTATGACTGCAAAACAATTAGAGGGCAATAACTTAAACATTGCATTACGGTACTGTTAATTTCTAATTAATTAATTTCTAACTTTTAAGTTAAGTCTTAAAAGAGCATATAAAAAAGAAATTGAAGGTCTTACAACCATTGTCCAATTTGAAAACCAGAAAGAGAGGTATTATCTAATGATGCCCTCACAACATTGCCCCTTCTAGTTGACATCACACTTTCGTATTTTTAATTACCAATGGCAAGTGCCATCAGAGCTTCAATTTCACAATATATACTTTAAGTCTACATAACATTCTCACAGTTGGAATTCAATTAGCTCCTTATCCAAAAATGTTTACAATATATTTAAGTAACTATATTCCAATTCTGATACTTGTAACACAAAATGTATAATATTGTCAAATATGGTGACAATGACTGAGCACTGCACTATTCCCATGGAATAATTGATAAATTGCAAATAATCAAAATATATGATCAAACCTTACAATAATATTCAAATCACTGTCAATAGTTGATTATATACAGTATGATTGAATGTATAGATATCAATTCCAGGACTTAGATGCAAAACAAACCCAATCAATCAATGAGATGCTTATAGTCAATCAATGCCTGATCGAGATAATGTTTACCTTAGCACTGCGGTTTAGATCAATAAATTCTATATGCTGCTCCACTAAAACAGGTATATAATTTAACAGTTTCTACTTCTTCAATCAATTATTTAAGCTATTATGGTTAGATTGTCAAGCAATAAAATAATAATATCACTCTATATGATAAGTATAGGATAATGACCCAGAATGATGGCATTGAATATGTATATAATACATGGCTTTTCTTACTCGGTAAAAACTTGTTCCCAAGCTTATATAAAGGTTATCAGTAGTGGTCAAAATTTGAGTCTTCAAATCCGTGTGTGTCAAGAATTGTCTATGTTCGAACGTGAATAAGATGGCGCGTCTTTTCTTGAGTCTCTGTCATGTGCAGACAAATAAAGAAATAGAAAATAAAACTTCCAGTTTAATATTTTTTTTTTTCAGATGTTTCTAGTTTTTCTGAAGATTATTTATGTATATTCAAGACCTAAATCGACACCCAAAACGGTGAAGTTCTCCCTTTAAACGATATCACATAGAAGTCATTTGTCCCACTTACGCACAATTTTTAAAACTGTAAATTGTAAAAAGTCTGAGACCTCACTATTAGGAATTAAATCTATTTCCAGACATAAGATTCCAACCAAAGAATGGCGGAAAACTCTTTAAAACCTGAAATTCACACAAATTCAGGGTGTTGGCCATAGACATAACTCAATATATTATTGATATCGATAATCTATATTAATATTCTTCAATGCAATAGAAATTGAATCATGCTGCAAGCAAATTATACATCAATCACTTTATTATAGGAAGTCTACCTCTAAAGGCGCCAATAGAAAGAGCTATGATGTGGGTGGAATGAAGCAGCCTTCTTATAATATTCAGTTTTATTTATCCTGCAGACCAAATCTGTTTCTCTTTGTGATGTCATATTGATTATGATAATCCAATCAGATTTTAACAGCAGAAAAATGCCTCAGGTCACTCGACAATTTGAAACATGCTTAGACTCTTTCAATAATACCCCTATTTACTGGATTGATCAAATTCAACAGGATTTTGTCGTATAGTTATGACATAAAGTAAATCAACTGATGTTTCC